GGCGCCGCTAGGCGGAGGATTAGCCTAGTGAGCCGCGGCGCCGACCCAAAGATGAGTTTTTATTAAAAAAAAAAAAAATCCCTGAAGGGCCTGACATGGTGGCATGGCAGGAGAAAGCTACGCCTGCAGTACCCACATGCCACAGCCAGTTCCAGTCCCGGCTGCTCCACTTCCCATCCGGCTCTCTGCTGTGGCCTGGGAAAGCAGTAGAAGGTGGCCCAAGTCCTTGGGCCCCTGCACCTGTGTGGGAGACCCAGAAGAGGCTCCTGGCTCCTGGTTTCAGATCAGCCCCGCTCTGGCTGTTGCCACCATTTGGGGAGTGAACCAGCAGATGGAAAGCCTCCCCCACACCTTTCTCTCTAACTCTGCCTTTCAAATAAATAAGTAAATTAAAAAAAAAAAAAACACCTTGAAATAGTGCTGTGAGAAAAAAATGACAAAAGGTAAGAACGCATCAGTACAGAAACACCACTTGCAGTTCCTCTGGGACACTAAAAGCACACATTCACCGCAAGGAACCAGCTTTCTTTCTTTCTTAAGATTCATCTATTTATTTGAAAGGCAGAGACACCGAAAGAAGAGAAAGAGCTTCTGTGAGCTGGGTAACTCCCCAAATGGCTACAACAGCCAGGGCTGGGCCAGGCCAAAGCCAGGAGCCAGGAGCTTCTTCAGGTCTCCCACATGGTGCAGGGGCCCTGCACTTGGGCCATCTCTGCTGCTTTCCCAGGCAGGGAGCTGGAACAGAAGTGGAGCAGCCGGGACTCGAACCGCTGTCCAAGCATCGACACCGCAGGCGAAGCTTAAACTTAACCCTCTACCCACAGCGCCAGCTCCGGAATCAGATTTCTTAAAAGATTTTTATTTGCGCGGCAGAGAGACTGACAGAGCTCTCCCATGCCCTGGTTCACGCCCCAAATGGCCACAAGAAAAGCAAGGCCCGGCCACAGCCAGGAGCCCCAAGCTTAACCTGGGTCTCCCACTGGGTGGCAGGGGTGCCACCGCGCTGTCCCCAGGTACGCGGCAGCAGGGGGACCCAGGCATCCCGACCAACGTCTCGGCGGTGCTCAAGGCCAGCTCCAGAAACCAGACGTTCGTATGCGAGCTCTTTCAAGTTTCTGCTTATTCATCGGGCCGCGTAACGGGCATCAACTCTGGGCGCAGCACGCATTTCGGTGGGCGCTGGGGGCTCAGGGGCGGCCGGGCACAGAAGTGAACCACCCAGCAGCCCTCCCTCGCTCCTATCGCCACGTGACTTATCGCTGCTCAGATACCCAGCACTCCTGAATCCGCTCCAACGACCCGGAGAGTGTCATAGATAGATAGATAGATGTGTCATTCATAGATAGATAGATAGATAGAAAGAATAGATAGATAGGCGTTCCAAGGAGTGTGTCAAAGATAGATAGATAGATAGACAGACAGATATAGATAGATGTGTCATAGATTGATAGATTGATAGATTGATTGATTTAGATAGATGGATAGATAGATGTGTCATAGATAGATTGATAGAATAGATAGGCGTTCCAAGGAGTGTGTCAAAGATAGATAGAATAGATAGATAGATATAGATAGATGTGTCATAGATTGATAGATTGGTAGATTTAGATAGATAAATGTGTCACAGATAGACGACCTGGAGTGTGTCATAGATAGATGTGTCATTCATAGATAGATAGATTGATTGATTGATAGACAGACAGACACCCGGAGTGTGTCATTCATAGATAGATGCGTCATTCATAGATAGATTGATAGATTTAGATAGATAGATAGATTGATTGATTTAGATAGATTTCTGTGATTGATTTAGATAGATTTCTGTCGGCAGCTCCGGCGACCCCGTGCTGGGCCGGTCGCTGGGCACCTGCGGGCGGGAGTCCTGGGGGCCCTGGGGCTCTGCCCGCCGCCCCTGCAGCACCCAGGGGGCCCCGGGGGTGGTCCCGCCCAGGAGCGAGGAGCCACGCTGGGGGCCGCCCCGCAAACCTGAGAGGCCTCACCCTCCGCCCTCGGCGACCCCATCCCGACTCCAGCCGCTCCCCCAGCCGCGCGCCGGCCCTCCTGCCCACACCGGCCGCGCAGCCGGCTGGCGTCCTCCCGCCGCTCCTCCTCAGCCTCACTGCCCTCCGGCCACGGCGCTCGAGGGGCCGCCAGGCAGGCACTCCGCCTCCTTACCGCCTCCTCCAGGTCCATCACGCCGCCACAGCCGCCACAGCCGCCGCCGCCAGGGCCCGTTACCCAGGCAGCGAGCGCAGCTTCCGGGACCGTCGGGATGAACCTTCCGGTCGGAAGCGCACGCCTCCGAATTTAGGTTCCGGGCACCCGCGGCCGGAAGCCGCCGCGTGCCACAGGACGCGGCTGCGCACATCCCGCGTGCGCCTCCCAGCGAGCGTCCTTGCCCGGTCTGGGTCTCTGAAACCAACCGAAGAGCAATGGGGCGACGCCAATGCCGGGGGTTCCTTCACGGTCGCGTCCCACGGTCCGACCCTGGCAGCCCCACGTGCTTGTTCGGGTGCGAGGAACGCAGTGCAGCAGGGCCCTCGCTGCTCAAGATGGACGATTCTGGCCCTTCCGGTTGGCTGGCCACGGCTGGCCACCCCTTCCGTCTTTTGCTGAGGGGCCACGAGACCTGGGTTTCCAGTCGTGCCTCGGCCTCAGTGTCCCTCTGCAAGCATCAGACGTTACCTGGGAGCACCTCAGGTGTTGGGTGCTGACCGCGCCTCCCGTGGGACTCAGGGAGCGGACGCTGAGTCCGGGAGTCAGCGGTGCCCGAGGTCCACCAGCGCCCCGGCCTTCGGGGAAACTGTGTTCTGGTGCGGAGAGAAGAGGTAGAAAACAAGGAAGGAGAAGACGCGCTCGGGCCGCGGAGTGGTGATGCGTGCCCAGGCCAGTGGGAGCGAGAGGGCTGCCGTGTGAAGTGGGTGCTGAGGACAGGTGTCCCCGAGGGGATCTTTGACCCAGAAAAATAAGAAAGGGTCACCTGGAAACCTAACAGGAGGGAGGAAATGAAAAGAGCAACATGACATTCTGTGGAGAGGCTCCACGACTAATACTACGTCTTTGAAAAGGCTGAGAAATTCAGCAGACGCTGGAGACGGAGCAGGAGAAAAGCGAGGTTCATCAGTACCAGGACAGCGGATCTCTACAAACACCGTGCACGTTCATTTAAAAGATCGCAAGAGGAAGTCGTGAACAACCCTAGGCCAATACGTTCGGGAAAGAAGAAATGGGAAATTCCTTAAAAAAAAAAAAGTTATCAAAAGGTATGCAAGAAGAACTAGAAAAGCTGAACAATCCTTCATTTAAAACACTGCCTCCATGAATTAAAAATTCTCAGAAAGAACCCCCCAGGTCAAACGGCAGAGCTGTAAGTTCTGCCAACCTTTTGGGAAAGAAGTGACACCCATCCTACATAGACTTTTTTTTTTTTTTTTTTTTTTGATGGGTAGAGTTAGAGACAGAGAGAAAGGTCTTCCCTCCGCTGGTTCACCCCCCACATGGCCACCACAGCCGGCGCTGCGCCTATCTGAAGCCAGGAGCCAGCTGCTTCCTCCTGGTCACCCATGCGGGTGCAGGGCCCAAGGACCTGGGCCATCCTCCGTTGCCCTCCTGGGCCACAGCAGAGAGCTGGACTGGAAGAGGAGCAACCGGGACTAGAACCAGTGCCCATATGAGATGCCAGCGCCGTAGGCGGAGGATTAACCAAGTGAGCCATGGCGCTGGCCCATAGACTCTTAAGATAATGGAGAGGGGGTGTGTGTTTGTCAGCCTCCCTTGAGGCAAGCACAGCCTTGACACCAAAACCTGATAAAGATATTTTAAGAAACTCAGTATTAAAGACCAGTCTCTCAGACACAGACACGGAAGTTCCAAACAAAATGTCAGCAAATGGAATGTGCTCCACTGCCGCCCACGTGGAAGACCCGAATGCAGTTCCCAGCCCCTGGCCCCTGGCCCCTGGCCCCAGGCCCCTGGCTCCTGGCTTCTGGCTCAAGCCCGGCCTGGCCCTGCCCATTGTGGACTTTTGAGGAGTGAGCCAGTGGGTGAGAGAACTCTGTCTGCCTTGCAAATACATTTTTTAAATAGAAAAAAAAATTTCTTTTTTTTTTTTTTTTGAATGTTTCAAATGTACTTTATTTCTTCAATAATGCAGTATTTTGACTGGTACAGTGCTTTTACTTGGCATCACTTATGAGTTGGTTTTCAAGCAATTCAGTATTACACCAGCTGGGATGATTACTGATTTCTCCATTCCTTTGGGGTGACTCTGCCAACAGGGGACAGGTTCCATTCTATTCCAATTTGTGTTGCTGTATATGTCCATACAGCAATACAGAACGTGGTTCCACCAGCTAATACAATATTACCATATTTGTCATGAAAATCAGGTGTACGTTTCTGGTGGCTCTGCCTTGCCATTGTTTGTTGAATGCTTCGAACTTGGAGACGACTTAGCGCATTTCTGACCACAGGAAACATCGTGAAGCAGAAGATACAACTGCGGCAACAGTAGCTACCGCTTTGCTGCAATTCCACTACAGATACCCTTGCAGAGCCCTCGAAAAAAAAATTTCTTTTAAAAAAGTTAGTGTAAGTTGAATATATATTTTGTTGTATTCAACAGTACATAAATATGGTAATAAATCACAACCCAGCTAGGTTTATTCTAGGAATGCAAAGTTAAGTGTTAAGTAAATAAGTTAAACAGTAAGTAGTGTGGTACAAGGATAGAATCAAAGATCAATGGGACTTGGGGCCGGCGCCGTGGCTCACTTGGCTAATCCTCCGCCTGCGGCACCGGCATCCCATATGGGCGCGGTGTTCTAGTCCTGGCTGCCCCTCTTCCAGTCCATCTCTCTGCTGTGGCCCGGAAGTGCAGTGGAGGATGGCCCAAGTGCTTGGGCCCTGCACCCCATGGGAGACCAGGAGGAAGCACCTGGCTCCTGGCTTCGGTTCAGCGCGGTGTGCCGGCCGTAGGGGCCATGTGGGGGGTGAACCAATGGAAGGAAGACCTTTCTCTCTGTCTCTCTCTCTCACGTATATAACTCTACCTGTCAAATAAAAAATCAATGGGACTTGATAGAAAGCCCAGAAATTGACCCACAAATACCTGTAAGGTAACCTGCTCAGCAACCAAGATGCTACTAAAATTAAGTGGGGAAATGATAGTTTTTTTGATAACTGATTCTGGGTAATTGAAGATTCATGTGAAAGGATTATTGACCTTTTTCTCACTCCATCCTCAAAAATTAAATCAAATGGATCATAGACCTACATGGGAGAGGTAAAACCATGGTGTGTCTGGGTGGGGGGAGCATAAATAAATATCTTTATGACTTGGAGAGAATAGATTTTGTAAACAAGCATAAAAAAATTTCCCATGAAAGAAAAGATCATTAAGTTGAACTTGATTAAAATGAAGAGCTTTATTCTGTCAAAAAGCTAGACAAAGCTGAAGCCAGGAACCAGGACTCCACCCAGATCTCCCACGTGGGTGGCAGGGACACAGCTATGTGAGCTGTCACGTGCTGCCTCCTAGGGTGCACATGGTCAGGAAGCCAGAATTGGGAGCAGAGCCCGGCCCGGAGCCCAGGCTTTCCAGTGTGGGATGTGGATGTCCCAACCAGCGTCCTGACTGCTGTGTTAAACACCTGCACGTAAATAAATAATTATAAAACATGTCGGGTGGGAAGGAGATTGGAAAAATAAAGTGGGACAGAAAGGAAGAGAGCAGATGGGTTAGGAGGTGGTGGGGTGGGATCCTGTCACCTCTCTGACATTCGCCTCTCTCACGTTCGAGAGGAGTTTGGAGCAGTGGGTTCGTCCTGCGATGTGGGGCATCAGCACTCCCAAGGCGAAGGTGGCCCTTCCTGCGCAGGGAGGAGTGCGTCTCAGCTTCTCATGCTGCTAGAGTGTCTGAGAGGAGCTCGTCATGGAGGAAAAGTTTGTCTCCACTCGTGTCTCGTGGGTTCACAGTCGGAGCTGGGCTGGCCCCACAGCCTGGGGCCTGGTGAGAGGAGTGGGAGGTGGAACCCATGCACAAGGAGGGGTACACAGAGGACACCGAGCAGACGGAGAGCAGCTGGGCCAGACTCAGCTGGCAAGAACCCCCTCGCAAAGGCGCGGCCCCAGCAACCCACGGACCTCCCACTAGACCCACCCCCTGAACAACAACTGGATCTAGTCTCCACCCTGTGAGTGCCATCAATCCACGACTTTGGGGTTTAAATGTCAGCTTGAGTTGGGATGCCCAGTCCCATTGGAGCTGTAGCAGGGAGCGCAGTTGAGCTCCGAGAGGGACTGGGCCAGATCGTGAGGCAGGTCGGGAGATGATGGTAAGAACGGCAGGTTATCTGCTGAGCGGGACGCGGAGTCGGGCGGCAGGATCTGGCTTGGATTTGGAAGGGTGCCTCTGGGTGTGAGGGTGACAGGTGGAAGGGAGCACGAGGGGCAGCAGGGCTGTCCCACAGAGGGCGGTGACGTGTGCAGGGCTGGGGTGGTGGCAGTGCTGCTGCCAAGAGGCAGCTTCTGGATACGTTTATGCAAAGATCTTTCCTGATGCAGGAAGAGAGGTGTGAAAGATGATCATGAAGCTTTGGGTCTGACCCGCTGTAAGAACGCAGCAGGCGGGGCCGGCGCTGTGGCGTAGCGGGTAGAGCTGCTGCCTGCAGTGCCGGCATCCCATATGGGTGCTGGTTCTAGTCCCAGCTGCTCCACTTCCGATCCAGCTCTGCTATGGCCTGGGAAAGCAGTAGAAGATGGCCCAAGTGCTTGGGCCCTTGAGTGAGAGACCCAAAGAAGCTTCTGGCTCCTGGCTTTGGATTGGTGCATCTCTGGCTGTTGCAGTCATTTGGGGAGTGAGCCAGTGGATGGGAGAACTCTCTCTCTCTCTCTGTGACTCTGCCTTTCAAATAAATAAATTTTGAAAGAAAGAAAGAATGCAGCTGGCATTTGCTGACTGGAAGATCTGGTTGTGGGTATCTGATAGAATTCGGAGGAAGAAAGCAGGAGTTCAGTGTGGGCTACGTTTAGGTTAGTGGTGTGCATCCCAGTGGAGATGCTGAGCGTGTTGGCCAGGGCTGAATAGATCTGTGTAAGGAGGTATAAGTTTGGGAGTCAGGAGTCTGGGTAAGATCCCCAAGGGTGTGACTGACAATCGAGAAAAAGGTCTGGGTACTGAGACCAGCACCTAGGGGTGGTAACCAAGGAGAAGGGTGCAGTGAAGGAGGCAGGAATGGCTGCCCTGAAGTAGAAGGAGGAGCAGTGCGCTTGGCGTGCCGGAAGCCAGACAAAGATACCGCCAGCCACACTGGATGCTCCTGGGAACAAATGGAAGATGGGCGCTGATCGTGGGCTGTGGACGTCGGGGGCACCAGTGCCCTTGACAGCAGTGGTCCCAGTGGGCAGCTGGGGCTGAACACCTAGGAGACTGGAGGCTGTTGCAAGCAGAAGCAGAGGCCCCGTGCTGGTAGGTGTTGTCAAGTCAAGAGAGACTTTTATTGCTTGGTCTGGGTTTGTTCCTTAGCTTGCAGCTTGGGATGTTTGCAAGCTGATGGAAATGAACGCTCATAGAGAGGGAAGAACGTCGGGGCTGTCATGCGCTGGTGGGAGGCGGTGGGATCAGCCCTAAGCAGACAGTTCACCCGCAGCAGAACCAGGAAAGAAGGGAGAGCAGGTGCGCAGGTGTGGGTGGGGCTGTGAGGAAGATCTCTTCTGAGTGCCTCCAGGGAAGTGGGGAGCAAGTCTCCAGCTGAGAGCGGGGTGCGGGCAGGGCTGTGGGAGGCTTGGGGAGAGGTCAGAGGTGTGACATCTCTTGGAACCCAGAGCGTTGAATCACCAGCCTGAGGGGCCCACTTGACATCTGCCGTCATAAATCCGAAGAGGAAGCAGCCAGCACTCCCTGCCCTCCTGCAATGCCTTTGGAAGGCGTGCCCTTCTCCCCAGGGACAAACGCAGCGGTCAGTCTCAGCTGCCACTGGCAGCCACGTCGGCGCAGAAATGCTCCCCTCCTGTTTAAAAGGAAACCAGCCCATCCGCAGGCCAACAGGGCTTTGAAGCGTTTTCTATCAGATGGGCAACAGCCTCCTGGGGGGAACAAAGGCCCTGCGCGCCTCCCCCCCACCAGGACCCCCCTCCATGGCACTGACTGGTGTTGATGAGATGACTACGCCCACGACATCTACAGCTGCGTTAGCGCTGCCGCCCCACTTCCTGCTGGCGTAGGAGGTGGAGGATGGAGTCACCTGGCGCCAGCGGCCTCCTGCCTCCAATTCCTGAAGTCCTCCTGTTGTGTTCATTCCTTCTTCCTTCCTTTCTTCTCTCCCTCTCCCTCTCTCTCTGCCTCTCCCTCTCTCCCTCTCCCTCTCCCTCTCCACCTTTCCCTCTCCGCCTCTCCCTCTCTCCCTCTCTGCCTCTCCCTCTCCCTCCCTCTCCGCCTCTCCCTCTCTCCCTCTCCCTCTCCCTCTCTCCCTCTCCCTCTGCCTCTCCCTCTCCCTCTGTCTCTCTCTCCTTCCTTCCTTTCCTTTCCTCCCTCCCTTCCTCTCTCGCTCCCTCCCTCCCTTTAAGGATTTATTTATTTGAAAGGCAGAGTGAGAGAGGGAGGGACAGAGACACAGAGATCTTGCTTCCACTGATTCACTCTCCATAGAACCAAGACTGAGCCAGGCCGAAGCCAGGAGCCAGCAGCTCCATCCGGGTCTCGCACCTGGGTGGCAGGGCCCCAAGCACTTGGGCTGTCTTCCCAGGCGCATTAGCAACTCCTTCCGTGGTCACAGGGACAGTTTTACCACCTACCACGGTGTTTGTAGAAGAAATGATTTGCTGTCCAGGATGAGGTTCCTGGCGCCTCCTGCCGCTGGTGGCTCCACGCGTTCTGTCAGTGCTCCCGATTGACGTAGAAGCTGGTGCTGTCAGGCACGGAGACGCATTGGGAACTTTGATATTTTCATCCCACTGTACAGCTACATTCCACACAGCAAACCTGTGCCGTTTGTCCTAGGACTTGTTCCTTCCAAATTTTCAAGCGGTGTTTACTGTATCTTTCAGCAGTGTCTGCTGGTATGTCGGCCACGTTAGCGTGGCAGGGTGACAGAACACAGGTGAACATCAAATACACCTTCCGGAGAGATGAATGCTGTCAGAGATACAGCAGCGTGTGGATGTCAGGTGACTGGCACAGGGGAAGTGGAAAGAATTCTTTTTAAGAGTTATTTATTGGCTGGTGCTGCGGCTCACTAGGCTGATCCTCCACCTGCGGCGCCGGCACCCCGGGTTCTAGTCCTGGTTGGGGCGCCGGATTCTGTCCTGGTTGTTCCTCTTCCAGTCCAGCTCTCTGCTGTGGCCCAGGAGGGCAGTGGAGGATGGCCCAAGTGCTTGGGCCCCTGCACCTGCATGGGAGACCAGGAGGAAGCACCTGGCTCCTGGCTTCGGATTGGTGCAGTGCGCCGGCCATAGCAGCCATTTAGGGGTGAACCAATGGAAGGAAGACCTTTCTCTCTGTTCCTCTCTCTCACTGTCTAACTCTGCCTGTCAAAAAAAAAAAAAAAAAAAAAAAAAAAAAGAGTTTATTTATTTGAGAGGCAGAGTTACAGAGAAAGGGAGAAAGAGACAGAAAAGAGGTCTTCCATCCACTGGTTCAATCCCCAAAAGGCCTCAACAGCCAGAGCTGTGCCAATCCGAAGCCAGGAGCCAGGAGTTTCTTCCAGTTCTCCCACATGGGTGCAGGGGCCCAAGCACTTGGGCTATCTTCCACTGCTTTCCCCGGGCCATAGCGGAGAGCTGGATCAGAAGAGGAGCAGCCGGGGCACGAACCATCACCCGTAAGGGATGCTGGCATTGCAGGCAGCAGCTTTACCCACCATGCCTCGGCCCCGGGAGAGAGTTGTTATGGGGCTGCCAGGTAGACCTGGCTGAGCAGAGATGGGAATGGGTGAGAGTCACACAAGAATGTGGGCACCTAGGTCCTAGGGAGATGAAAAGGCCCTGAGGCAGGACCCAGCAGGAGTGTTTGAGGAACAAGGGGACCCAGGACGGCCTGAGGGTAACGCATGAGAGGCAGAGTCCCGCCAGAGACTAGATGAGGCCCCCTGCTGCAGGAGGTCGCCTAGACCCCCAGGGCTGCTGACAACCAGACAGCCACTATCCTTTGTTTAACACCAGGCCTCCCCTGCTGACAACCAGACAGCCACTATCCTTTGTTTAACACCCGGCCTCCCCTGGCCACTTCGGCTGGTTCCTGCCTTCCAGGGAAGGGCGGAGGGACCCCTGGTGGGTCAGCTGATGCCCAGGCAGCCAGCCGCGGCTGCCCTGTACTGTCCAGCAGCCGTACACCTGCCTGTGGGCATTACCACCTTCCTGGGATCTCGATCCGGAGAGCCAGGGAGAGACTTCCCCGGGGGCCCCGCCCTAGAGCTCAGCCGGGCAGCTGGGGCTCAGCTGGAGCGGTGGGAACTCCTGAGACAGGAGAGAGGACAGTTTCGGATCCGAGGACACCACGGATTCGATTAGGCGGAGTGTGGCAAACAGGAAGTCACGCCAGTAATTTCTGGACATCGACACATGACTTCCAAGTGGTAGGACCGATCTGATTAATACTGTGTCAACTATGAGGGAACTTCAAGTAGTGAAGAAAGTCAAATTAGAAGATAAGAAGATAACAGGTTTTTTTTTTTTTTTTTGCACCTTAGGATTTTTTTCATAATATTCAACAAACTTTTTAGAGATCTTTTGGGGGCCGGCACTGTGGCATAGCAGATGAAGCCGTTGCCTGCAGCACCAGCATCCCGTATGGGCGCCAGTTCAAGACCCAGCTGCTTCACTTCCGGTCCAGCTCTCTGCTATGGCCTGGGAGAGCAGTGGAAGATGGCCCAGGTGCTTGGGCCCCTGCACCCACGTGGGAGACTCCAAGGAGGTTCCTGGCTTCTGGCTTTGGATCGGCGCAGCTCCAACTATGTGGCCAATTGGGGAGTGAACCAGCGGGTGGAAGACTTTCTGTCTCTACCTCTCTCTGTAACTCTGTATTTCAAATAAATAAAATAAATCTTTTTTAAAAAATTCTAAACATGTTGAGAAATTCCTGTAGGATTTTGACCTGGTGAGTGACATGGTCTAGTGCGTGCTTAGAAGCCGGGCTGCTGTGTGAAGATGAGACGAGAAGGGGCAGGGTGCCGTGATGCTGGGAGGGCCCTACAGGACCCCAACTGAGACTGGATGGGTGGCTGATCCGTTCTGTGACGGTGGGGGCCGCCAGCGAGGGAGCCACGCGGTGGGGTGAGGGGTGGCGCCCACACCCGGGAGGCCGCGGGCAGGTGCGGGGTGAAAAGCAAGGAGACTGTGGAGTTTCCAGGGGAGTTCTGGATGTGGGTGGCATTACCTGGGGAGTGCAAGCAGGTGGTGGAGGGAGAGCACAGGGCTGAGACGGGGGGGGGGGGGGCACTGTAGCTCTAGAAGCCAGGGGGCGCAGAACAGTCCAGCAAAGAGGCTGGGGAAGGAGGAGAGCCAGGAAGGGTGACCCAGCCCTGGGAAGAATGTTCCAAGAAAGAAGACGTGCCGGACGCCAGCAAGAGTTGTGGGTGCGCTCAGCAGAGGAGTCGGCCAGATACGTGCGCGGGACACCCACGAGATCAGGAAAGTGAGGAAAGCTTCAAGGTGGGGGTGGGGCAGAGGGCAGGACAGCTGGAGGCGCAGAGAGCAGGGAACGGCTGGGGAGCCCTGGGGAGCCGCAGGTTGCGGGGGAGGTATGGGAACGGTGGACGATCGCACGCTTTGTAGGCACAGTTGGGCAGGAGAGGAAGGAGGGAGTGACAGGAGGTCGCCGAGTGGATGGGAGGCACAGAGCTGGCCCACGATGAGGCCGCCCTCCGCAGGTGCCCTATTCTCCCGTGACCGCGGCCGCCTTAGGGCCAGCCTGAGGCCCTGGTCCGCCAGGCGCAGCCCCCTTACCGCAGGCCCATGCCTCCTCCTCACCCCTGGCCTGGCGCTCGGGACGAGTGAGCTGAGGGTAGACAGGCCCACAGAGTGTGGAAGTAGCAGTGCCGTGTCGGGGAGGCCGGCACAGAGAGCCCGGCGTGGAGAGAGCTCACTGGAATCCTGGGCTGGACGCTCACCTGCGCACTGCGTGACCTGCACAGGTGACTGCTCACCTGCGGGGTCACGTGACCAAGCCAGGGGGAGGCCGACTGGTACAAAGCGGACGCTGGCTGGGCAGCTGTGGCGGGTGGATGCCAGCAGTGTCCCTGAGCTGAGTTCCCGGCCTGCTGCCCCCAGACACGCCACGAGCCAGCTGGGGGCGCCTGGTCATCAGAACCAGACTTGACGGTGTTTCCAGGTTTCCAGATAAGGAGCCGGTCTCGGCTGTTCGCAGGGGCCTCCCAATTTCATCACCGACAAATGTATCACTCCAGGATCACCAGTTGAAAGGGAGGGGCAGACATGTTATTATCTTCAAAGCGTTCTGGAAGCCTATTAAATGCTAATCACAAAGCACAGGGATATCCCAGAAGGCAAAACCCATCCCCGACACTTCCTGTGCCCAGGAGCCGCCTCCCTCCCTGGCTCCCCTGAGCGCTGCCTGCGGCCTGTGCTCTGTGTGTGACCGCTGCCCGGCCTCCCTGGGGAGAAAGTGAAGGAGTGAACACTTGCCAGGCGCGTGCTCTGTGCCACGCACTGGACCAGGCCCGTAACCCAGCTGCCGTGGGCCCATCATCAAGCAGTTAGGGACATGGGAGGTGGAGAGGGGATCTTAACTCAGTCCTGCCGGTGTCACGGGGCCTGCTCTCTGCCAGGAGACTGCTGTACCGGACGGTAAATCACAGAAGTGGGGCATCCCCCGTGTGAAGGCACAGCGCGTGCGGGGTGCTCAGAGTGCGGCTTAGCGCACCCAGTTTCCCAGAAACCATGCGGCGGGGGCGGTCCAGCCATCTGTGGTCCCAGGTGGGCGTGCCCCTGTTCCCCCTCCCTTCCCAGAAGGGAGCTGACCTTGTGGAAGGGAGCTGGTGCTGAGCACGGAGGCCCTTGAAGGGGGCCATCCGGCTTGGGGCCAGGATCGCCCTTGCTAGACCCCACCCCACCCCCAGGATGGAAACGTGGGGCTGCTTGTGAAGATTCGGTTGGAACTTCCAGGCGGGGCCCTGGGACTGCCCAGGCTGCCCGCTGGGGCCAGCCCTGCCCGTGGCATTGGCTGGAAGAGATCATCGGGACATCTTAACCCCTCAGAAATACACAAAATTAAATATCATGGGGACCTGTCCTTTTTTGGGGGGCTTCTTGAAACACCCGATTTCAGCCACTGGAGGGTGAACCAACGGTAAGGGAAGACCTCTCTCTCTGTCTCTCCCTGTCTAACTCTGCCTGTCATACAGGCCGAGGGTTTTCACCAGGGTTTGGCTTGTCTTTGCTGCTCCCAGGAGTCGTGGCCTTAATAAGCCGTCCAGTCACCGGGCAGTGACCAGGGGGCTGCAGCACAGGCCCGGGGGCGGGGGTGGGAGCAACTCCTCGGTCTTGTTAAAAAGAGACAATTTCAGGCCAGGGCGCTCACGCGGGCCAAGCCCACTCATTCCCCACCTCTCTAAACAAGCTGGCACCTGCCACAGAACCAGCCTGTGGACCTCGGGGACGTGGGCCACCTTCTGCTGCTTTCCCAGGCCTCAGCAGGGACCAGGTCCCTGTCTATGGACCTCAGGGACCCAGAGGGGCGGCCGCCCCCCCATCTCATGCCTCAGGGGGACCCTGAAGGCCCAGAGGGAAGTGACCCGCCGAGGGCACAGGCTAGTTAGTGACAGCTGGTTAGCTCACCCCTACCTGGTTCAGTTCACCTTAGATGGCCCAGGGGAGCTGGAGTCCCCGCCGTGCCCCATGGGCCTCAGCCCCCAGCAAAGCCCGGCCACGGTGGGTCCCAAACGTTTGCCAAACACAAGTGTGGGTGCAGAGACAGCGGCCAGCCGCTCTCCTGGGGAAACGCTGCAGGCACCAGGCTGAGAAGGACCCTGCCCCCTGCCAGGGATGGGGCCGGGTAAGCCCGGGGGAGGCCAGCGTTCCGCCGCAGGCAAAGACAGGGAGGCGAGCAAAGCCCAACGCAGGGCCGAACAGACAGGTGGTTTCCGGTGCTGCCGGAGCCTCTGGCTGGTTCACTCCCCAGATGCCTGCAACCCCGGGGACTGGGCATGGGCCTGGCCAAAGCTGGGTGCTGGCACTCAGTCCAGGCCTCCCACGTGGTGGCAGGGACCCAGTGACTGGAGCCATCACTGCTGCCTCCCTGGGGCTGCACTAGCAGGAAGCTGGGGGCAGGAGCCAGAGTTGGGGGTTGAACCTGGGTACCCGGCTAGG